TGATGACTAGATAAAGACAATGTGGTATATATACATGATGGCCTAGTATTCATCCATAAAAAAGAATGAAAACCTGTCTTTTGCAAAATAATGGATGGAAATCGAGACCATTATGTTTAATGAAATAAGCCAGACATATATGTTTTCTCTGATATGTGGTAGTTAATATAAAATACAAAAATACAAAAAATGTATAAGAGTGAATTGACATTTTATTATTTCATTATTGTTTGTGGCCCTTGTCTCTCTTTCTGTGGAGTGGTTTATTTTTTACTTGCTGACTACGATGGTTAGTGGTGTATTACACTTGTGATTATAAAGTGAATTGAAAGTATGTTATTGCAAAGACTGAAGGGAAAAAAAGGAAGGTGGGGTTTGAAGGAGGATAAGTATGGTTATTTTCTTAGAATTTTATATATAAACACATGAAATTTGTTCTCTTTATGTTAATAAAAATTTAAAAAGAAAATCAAACATATCCTCAAAGGATAAATATCTTCTACAACTCATGTTATTTAGAAGAATATACCAGTCTTTGGATAGCACTCTAAAGAAATGTACTGTATATGTTTCGAGTCACAATAAAGCATAAAAATAAATGACAGAGCCCCCAAGGTAACCATCTAGAAGAGTAACACTTATTTGTATATGTTTTTATCAATTACGGTACAAGACAAGATATTATCAGCAACGTTTCATAGTCATATTTATTAAAAACAAGTATTCTAAGATTGGAGGAGGCAGAATTCAGTGTGGACCATGGGGGTACTTCCTGAGAAGTGTGTGTTATGGGTGTCTGCCTCCCTCACTAGAATGTAAGTTTCATGAGAACAGGGACACATCCTGTCTTTTTCTACAGTACATCCTTAGTGTCCAAAAGAATGCTTGCAACATAGGTAAAATTAGCTGACTGACTAAAAGAAGTTAGAACTTAAACTAGGCCTTAAAGGTGAGTAAGATAGCTGGAACCAAGGCAAGGCAGTATGTATTTTAAACATGCAGAGTTGTCAAAAGTTCATGGAAAATGAGTATTATGAAAAACTATGTAAAGATTTCAAATATTTTACATCTAGATAAAATATCTTTTAATTCTATTTCTCCACAAACTATTTGAAGTGCTCTTATATACAGTAAGACAAGGCCAGAGAGTAGTGACTTAAAGCTAGGCTAATGCTTATTAAGCAATAGAATGCATAGTTTTTAAGGAATAAATTGAAAAGCATAATTTTCTAAACATTAACCTGGTTAAATTATGCAATTAGGATTGAATGGGGTACAGAGCATGAAGATCTGACAATGAATTACTCAAAGAGTAGGGCAATAAAAATTTAAAGATGCAATAAGAAAAATTACTTTTTAAAAAAAATTTATTTATTTGAAAGGCAGAGTTACAGAGAATCAGAGGCAGAGAGAGAACGAGATCTTCCATCCACTGGTTCACTCCCTGGATGACCGCAAAAGCCAGAGCTGTGCCAATCCAAAGCCAGGAGCCAGGAGCTTCCTCCAGGTCTCCCACGCAGGTGCAGGGGCCCAAGGACTTGGGCTATCTTCTACTGCTTTCCCAGACGATACCAGAGAGTTGGATCAGAAGTGGAGCAGCCGGGACTCAAACCGACACCCTAATGGGATGCCGGCACTGCAGGTGGTGGTTTTACTCACTACACTACAGCGCCGGCCCCAGAAATGACCTTTTAATTCAGCCAAGAAGGGTTGCAAATATCATAAATCATCTTGGGACAAAAGACAGCAACAACAAAAAGAACATTACTGCTAAATCAGTAACAGAGATGATAAGGAGCACGGAGATACCAATAAAGACAGAGCATCACCTACATAAATAACCCTGTATACTGGGAACAGCGATATCTCAATTTCTGACTACTGGTCAACATTTGCCATTTTAATGCTTTTGTTTGTTTTGTTTACCTTAAGAGAGCATTCCTTCCATCTGGTGGCAGCTGCTTGAATTGCAGGCCAAAATCCCACAGGCAAACCAAGCCTCTGGAATATGGTCAGATTACTAGGCTGATGGGAATGGCAAATCTTCATGGGATCTCCTACCAGGTTCAGGTTAAGAGAGAATAACCTTCATTCCCATCTAGGGATGTTAGTTACTGAGTGCAAGACTCAACAGACTCTATGAAATAGAAAGAATCCTACCTGGAAATATTCATATTCCCTTACTTCCTAACTGGGGAGCCAAAAGCAAGTTATATTATACCTTTGAGTCTTACTTTCCATATATATTTAAATTGAGGTAATTCTATGTACTCTGTGAGGTTTAAAAGTTTGTGAGAAATAAATAAAATAAAGTGCTTTTATCAACAAGCAAAGTACCTTACAAATATTGGGTTATCAATATCATAATTATTCTCCTCTTTCTTATCATCAAGGTTTGACTTAGCTACAGGTTGATACTGGCTGCAAGGAAGAGTTATAGCGAATCTGTGAATCTGGAATTTTGTGTGTATGCATGTATATATATATATATATGTGTGTGTGTGTGTGTATATTATATATGATAATTTATATATAATATATTCTAGTTCTGTGCACTTAGAAGGCCTAGAATCAACTTCAGCTCAGCAGCAATGACTACAACTAGCACCAATATTTTTATTTCTAAATACTATTTCCAAAGAAAAGAAACCACAGCTGCCTGGAGAAATGTCTGAATCCAGGGCTCAGGCAGGAAAAATACAAAAGGAGTCTGGTACATCAGGTGGTCCCAAAAAATAAAAGGTGTCTTCAAAAAACTATCAGAATATGTTGGAAGGACATAGTAGTACCCAACTGCCAAAATATGGGACAATCTGAATATCAAAATAAATAATGATAGCAATAGACTTTATCTCATCAAAAAATGATCTGCTTCAATAGCAGAGTCCTCTTTTCAAATGAAAATATTTAGGGCAGAACTAAGGGCCTTGAGACTTTCCAAACACCATTTGAATCAAGTTATCAAAGTTAACATTATCATTAATGAGACATATTGATAACATGTGCCTCCTAATATGGTACACTACAGAAGTTACAACCTTATTTATGTGCTGTTACTGACAGATTTGCACAATCTGACTCTAAGGATAAGCAAACATTAGACAAATCCAAGTGGAAGGACATTCTACAAACTAGTCAATATTCTTCAGAAATGTTAAGACCAAGAAGACAAAAAGAAGACTAAGAAAACATAAAAGTTTAAATACAAGGATGATCCTGGGAAGAAACAGACCACAAAGAGCGTAACAGTGAGACCACTGACAAATTTGAATACAGTATGTACACTAGTTAAAATAATTCATGGGGCCAGTGTTGTGGCACAGCAGGTTAAACCATGGCCTGCAGTGCCAGCATCCCATACAGGCACTGGTTTGAGTCCTGGCTGCTCCACTTCCAATCCCAGCTACCTGCTAATGTGCCTGGGAAAGCAACAGAGGATGGCCCAAGTCCCTGGGCCCCTGCCACCCACGTTGGAGACCCAGCCCTGGCTTCTGCAGCCATTTGGGGAGTGAACCAGCAGATGGAAGATGTCTCTCACAGTCTCTGTCTCTCCCTTTTTCTCTAAGTCTGCCTCTCAAATAAAATAAATAAATGTTTTTTAAAAAGTCATTGATTTTGACAACTATAATGTAGATAATTTAAGGAGATAACAGTTGAGGAAGCTAGGCAGAGTATACAAGATCTTTTTTTTGATTTTACAATTTTTTCAAAGTCTGAAATTATTTCAAAATGAAAAGAAAAAATATTTAAAACCCTATTGAGCAGAACACAAGAGAAGAGCTCAAATTCTGCTCATATCAGTCTAAAATGATTTGCATACTTCAGAACAGTTACTTCACCTTCACATAAGACAAGTTCATTAAGCACAGAATAAATGGCTGAAGCAATATTTATGGACTCCATAAATATTGAGGAGCCTCTGGGGCTAGAAAAGGAAAGCTGATCAAGTAAATTGCCCTGTCCCCATCACTTGTCAGTAAATGTAATCATGCTTCTATCTGCTTAATTTTTGTAATTTCATTTGATCAATGACTCTATACTACTATAAAAAGTAGTTTGAAATACTATTGAGTATTAAAAAGAAAACTATTGATACATGACACAACATGCATGAAACTCTAAAACTAGTAAAATAGGCTAGATACAAAGAATACACATGATTACATTTATATGAAGTTCGAGAATAGGTGAAAACTTAAGATTACATGACACATTATAACTATATATATTCTATATTATTTATATGACTATGCATTGTACAGTGATATAAATAGATTAATTTTTATCTGGGGTAAGGTAAAGGAGACTTGGAAGGAATATATGAAAACTATGTAGAATGATCCAAATACTATCTTTTTGATGGGGTGGTGATTACATGAATATACAAATTTGTTACCACTCACAGAAGTATACTTCTAGCTGATACAATTTACAGCACTTAATTTGTAATTCAAAAAAGTTGTCTTTAAAAATTCATCCTGGGTTTGGCAATGTGACACAGTGAGTTAAGACACCACTTGAATCACTGACATCCCATATTATAGTCTCATTTCCAGTCCTGGCTGTTCTGCTTCTGATCTAGCTTCATGCTAAATGTGTCTGGGAAGGCAGAGATGGCCCAAGTGTTTGGGTTCCTGCCACCCATGTGGGAGACTAGGATGGAGTTCCTGGCTTCTGAGCTTTGGTCTGACCCAGAACTGGCTGTTAAAGCTATTTGTGTAATAAACCTGCAAATGGAAGACCTCTTTCTCCCTTGCCCCCTCCTCCTGTAATTCTACATTTCAAATAAATACATCTTTTAAAAAAATAAAAATTCATCTTAAATATCTTTCATATTTCTACTTTCTGATTCATGAAACAGACCATTCTCCGCTTTGTTGATTGCAAATTGCAGTATCAGGACACAAAATAAATATGAAAAAAGGGGACCAAATTATGACCACACTGAGCCAATGCTGGACTAAAAATTACAATTTAAATTCAAATATTTTATAACATACCTTATAGAAGAAATACTGTACAAGGTGTGCTATTCTCACATAATATAGATGTCCATGAGCCAATAGCAGTTTCTTTAAATGTTTAAACTTTGGAACAGAATAATCACTATTCCTGGCTGCTTGGCGACCTTCTTTACCTTTAATACCTAAAAAGAGAATAGCTCTATAGGGTGAGTACTTTTTAGAATAACCAACTCCCTGTATTAGTCATACTATCTACTTGCTTAAATGTTACAGCTCATTTGTACAGTTCAGCATTTCATTTTTAAACAAAAAAAATGCTTTCTTTTAAACAGTGACACTGAAATTTAGCAAATCAAAGTAAAAACTAAGTTTGATTGGTAAGTCCTTATTTGTTAACAAAATATGAAACAATTAAATGGGATGACCATTTCAATCACTACAAGACAAATTATCTGGGGGGGGGATTCTACATGAAAAAATTGTTTTCAAGGTACTCAATAAGTGCTTACTTGTACATAATGCTAGACCAGGTGCTGCATTAATGTCGCTCAAAGAACTGGTTTCGTGGTCTATGAGCTCAATAAGACAATGGTAAACTCCTTTTTGTGAATGAAACTCTTGACTAGAAGCTCAAGAATCCCATGAGTTCAAGCAGCTTTAGACCATTTCCACACAGGATAACCAGAGACAATTTAAGAGTGCCATGCTATTTAGGACTACTTACAAATAAAAAACAGCATTTGGGAACCTACTCTGTAATACCAATTCCATATCTGTACCCACCTCCCAAACAAAACAAAGAAAAATGAAAAATCAACTTGTTGAGCCATTATGTTTGTTGCTTAACTGTAGCTTGGCAGGGAAAAAATTGATACAGGTAGTAGAAAAGCTGGTGTTGTATGTCAACATACAAATTCAATACTATAGCCCAAACCACCCATAACTAGTGGGAAACCATCTTATCAATTATACTTTCTTAGCCCAAACAGTTAGGAATCTCAAAAGATATAGTGCAGCAACATAAGAAGGCAGTCTGGCCAAGAGTGAGAACATCTGTTAAGATTTCATGCAGGCTTATTGAAGTCAGAGCTGAACAATCAATTGTGCTGCAGTGGGTTTAGGAAATTCACTTTACTAGAATAATAAAAAAAAATATCCTTTAGCTTTGTATTGGCATATTCCCACCAGGGGTAGGACCATGGGATCAACGTGTTCCATTATCAGATGAGGCCTTTCATTGGTTAACAGTTAACATGCCCAAACTCAAATTCAAGATGAGCAATCAAAACAATCAATCTATCTACATAAGAGCACACTAGTGATAGTTTACAGCTGTCATCTCATTAGATCGTTCTTACCTATTCCCACATGGGATTCCAAGATCATACTAACATCATTGGCACCATCACCTATTGACAGTGTTATTGGACTGCCTTTTAAATTCTTCACCATTCTGACAATCTAAACAACAAATATATAAGAGGTTAGAAAAGGTCAAAGCAGAATATGAGATTGGACTACATTAGGGATTTATGCCTCATTCACACTTGTAAATAAATGGTGGCCTTCCAAATAGAAAGGTAGTTTGCTCATACATGTACAAGAGACTTGAATTCTTAGATGCAGAACATAGCCATTCAAAATGTAATATCAGCACCCACTTGTTTCTGATTCTGTACACTTATGAACTATCAAAAAGCTTGCCTCCCACACACAGTAAAGATCAACATGTTTCCCTCTTTTGTCACTGCTTCATGTGTCCTTTCAGATTATGTGTTCAATGTCCAACAGTGCAGGCTAGAAAACAGATTTAGAGTAACGTTAATAGGTATACTAGAATAAAAGTGGGATGTCAGAGGACAATGTTTTTTATTCTTTTATTTTCTCTTCCCTGCTGACAATGCTATCTCTCCGAAGACCATCCAGACAACCCTTATCCCCAGGAATTTATCTAATGTTAAATTCTTTTTTAAAAAATTTATTTATTTATTTTTGACAGGCAGAGTTAGACAGTGAGAGAGAGACAGAGAGAAAGGCCTTCCTCTTCTGTTGGTTCACCCCCCAAGTGGCCGCCACAGATGGCACACTGCGCTGATCTGAAGCCAGGAGCCAGGTGCTTCCTCCTGGTCTCCCACGCGGGTGCAGGGCCCAAGCATTTGGGCCCATCCTACACTGCACTCCCGGGCCACAGCAGAGAGCTGGACTGGAAGAGGAGCAACCAGGACAGAATCCGGCACCCCGACCAGGACTAGAACCCGGGGTGCTGGCACTGCAGGCGGAGGATTAGCCAAGTGAGCAATGGCGCCGGCCTAATGTTAAATTCTTATACCTACCTGGCTGCCATCTAAATTTTACTCAGTCTCTCACTGCCTGATGTGGTTTGGCATCTTTTACATGTAGCTACATTTTAAAAGAAGCCAATTAAAGGGGAATAAGATTTGAAGAAAGATGCCCAAGATATGTGTTCAAAACTGGTGGGAATGGGAGAGGGAAGAGATGTATAATTTGGGACATGCTCAGGCTGACTTGCCCCAAGTGGTGGAGTTGGAAGCATACCAGGGGATTCCAATTCAATCCCATCGAGGTGGCATGTACCAATGCCATCTCACTGTTCCAGGTGATCAGTTTCAGTTCACAGTTGGTCATGGTGAAGGGACTGGGAGTCAAAGGGAACACATAGACAAGTCTAGTACCTGCTAACGCTAACCGATGGAGTAAATAAAGGGGAGAGTGATCCAACATGGGAAGTGAGATACTCAGCAGACTCATAGAATGGCAGATGTCCTAAATAGCACTCTGGCCTCAGAATCAGCCCTAAAGGCATTCGGAGCTGGCTGAAAAGCTCATGAGAGTATTTCAGGCATGGAAAGCCAAGACACTCTGGCAAAAGATCTCTGCGAGTGAGATCCCAGTGGAAAGAACAGGTCATCAAAGAAGGAGGTACCTTTCTCTGAAGGGAGGAGAGAACCTCCACTTTGACTATGACCTTGTCTAAACAAGATAAGAGTCGGAGAACTCAGAGGGCTTCCATAGCCTTGGAAACTCATGACTGGAGCATAGGGAGATTACTGATGCCATAGACAGGAGTGTCAATTGGTAAAGTCAACAACAGGAGTCACTGTGCACTTACTCCTCATGTAGGATCTCTATCCTTAATGTGCTGTACATTGAGATTTAATGCTATAACGAGTACTCAAACAATATATTTCACTTTGTGTTTCTATGTGGGTGCAAGCTGTTGAAATCCTTACTTAATGCAAAATAAACTGATCCTCTGTAGAACACAGATAAAAAAAAAAAAAAAATGAAATTATCAATTTCCCAACTTGACTCTCACTGGGATTAAACATGACATAGGTCTGCTCTGATTTCATCATC